TTAAAACTATTTAGAACTTTAAATTAAATATTCTTTTATATTTCATTAGATTAAAATTTGATAATTTATCAATATAAATCAACCTAAAATATGATAAACTGATATTATATAATCATGATTTTCTGGATAAATTAGTATCTCATAATTTAATATTTCTTCATTAAAATAATATTGAATATTTAGAAAATTTGTTCAAATAGAATTATTTATAAAAATATTTTTATTGATATTGTTATAATAAATCATTTTAATAAATTGTTTTTAATTTTACTTTAATTTTATATTAATTTAATATATTATCTAATATACTATTTAAGTTTATTTCTGACATATATAGAAAAATTTATATAAATAAGCTTAATTTGTTCATTTTTTAAAAAAATTAATCTTAACTTAAACTTTAACTTTTACTATCAAATTTTATCTTGTTCAAATTTTCTCTTTTTTTATATACTATTAAAATACTAACAAAAAAATTGATAAAGTAAAAACTAAAACTTAAAGTTGAATTATATTAATTAACCAGTCAATTTTTTAAATAATAAAAATATCATTTGATTGAAATAATAAAATATCATTCTAAACGAATGATAAAAAAATTATTTAATTAGAATAATAAAATATCATTTCAAATAAATGATAAAAAATCATTCAATTTGAATGATATAAATATCATTTTAAAAGTATGGTAAATATCGTTTAATAGAATAATCAAAATTATCATTTTAAATGAATGATATTAAAAGGTTAAAAAAATATATATACTATAGATGAGGAATGAAACCTCTTGATAATAGTTTAAACTTAAATGAAATTATATTAAAATCATAAGGAATATAATGAAACCATTTTGATATAATAAAAGTTGAAACTGTTTAAGCTATATTAAAAATATAGAAAAAAAGCATGATGAAATTATTTTGAGAAGGTTTCAGCAAGCATTTATAATATATACAAAATAGAAAATATAATAAATAAGATAACATATATAAATGAAAATCAAATTGCTTTTATCATTTATTAAAGATATCAATATAATTTTTATAGAAGATAAGATTCAAAGTAGAAAGATTTAATTACTAATATTAAGTTATTAATTATAAAAGCATTTGGCTAAAATAATACTTTTTTTTTCAAAATATTAACAGTTTTTATAGATTTAAAGATTGTTTATATTCATAAAATAACCATCTTATTATAATTGATTAATATTTAATTAGAATTATAATTAAAAAATTTTAATTAATATAAATAAAAATTAAATGAAAGATATAATGAAATTAGTACTAACTTGTTTAAAATATTTTTATATCTTAAAAAAATTAAATTATTATTATCTATCTAATAATCTCACAGTAACTTTTTAATTCTCTTCCTTAAATCATATTTTCAATAATTTCTTGCTTTAAATTATATTTTACTTGATGAGAAGCTTTGAAAAAATACACCAAATTTATATAATCTTTTAAATTGATTTAACAAATATCACTGATAATTAACTTTATATGATAAGAAATACATCAAATTGATAATATGGAAGGGTTTCTAGAAAAATCAGGTTCTGAGAAATTTTTGACTAAAATTAAGAGCTTAATACATTTTAATCTAATAGCATCAAAAACTAAAATGCAATAAAAATCTCAATTTTGCTAAAAAATTCCCAGAACCTGATTTTTCTAGCAATCAACCCATATATGTGTATGTTGCTTATGATCATTTTTTTTTGCTGCTATCAAAATCATTATTGAAAAAGAATTAAGAATCAAAATCGCAAATTGAATTTAAAAGAAATAAAAGTGACAAGGTTATAGACACTTTAGAAAGGAAAAAGTGGAAGTTCACCATTTAATTTAAATGATATAAATACTGTAAAATATTTACCTCAGTATATACTAGTAATTTGATGCAAAAGTTTACGCAGCTATTTTTTTATCTTTGGATGAACTTTGGCCAATTCCATAAAATATTATACTTGTAGTAACACTTTTAGATCACGTTTCAAAACTTTGAACGGTGTAAAGATGATGATAAAGTTGAAGCTGAAATTTTAGTTTGAAATTGATGCAAAACAAGGATCTTCCGCCTAAAATTACTGAAAATTTGTTTAGCAATCCATCATTGATAGTAATATTTTTAAAGCATTAGAAAGAGGTGTGCTAATAGAAGATGATGATGAGAAATTTTGTTAACAAAAATTGGATTAAATGATGATCCATTAAAATGGTGGGCAGTTAACAATTACGATTTTTCGATCACGAATATTTATCTATTCCTGCAATATAAGTCTCTAGTAAACGATTATTCTTAGACGAAAGTAATCATAATTCTGCTAACGAACTCGACTTTCTTCAGACTTAGTAAATAAGATGCTATTCATAGTGTTCATTTTGATATATTTTCCTCCCAATAGAAAAATAAATTGTAATAGAAATGATAATTTTACATTTGAAAAAATTTAATAAATAATTCGATTATTTAACCGGTTTTGATTCGGGCCGAGCACACGAATTAACCCACAACCGAAACCGGTTTTCGGAATTAAACCAGTTCCAACCTTTAGTCTAAAGCACATTTATTGAAAAAAAGAGCTTTCGCGTTTTTGTTATAAAAATTTAAAGTAAAAAATCGTTCGATAACAAAAAAAACTACTAAAGAACTGTAACGAGATAGATGTCTTTTTTATTTTGTTACAAACAAGTTATAAAAGCTGAAGATTTAAGTACTTTGTGCACAGTAATATGTTCAAAGTTTGAGCTTTACACAAATGTTAAGGTAATAATATTATTAACTTAAATTGGGTTTTTATTTATAAACTATGATCAATCCACATTAAGGCCAGAAGTTTCCAAGTGTATTCTTGAAGACCATATCACTAATGGTCATATAAAGATTGATAAAGATTAAGGAGTGTGCATTCATTGCATGTCAATGCGCATGTTGAACCTATGCGAAATTAGCATTTACTTAATCACAATAAATTCAAATAGATCAAAATATTTATATATTGGAAAATTTATTCTCTTTCATAGTTCATCTAATGTAAATTTATTTTCCTATATATTTAATGAGTACCGTTTTTTCAACTCTACATATATATATAATTATTGAACATGGAATGAAGATTCGTTCGACACTTTAATCAAGGATGAATGTTCCATACGTCAAATCATACTCAAAAAAGTTTTGATTGAATTCTTATTTGGTGCTTTGGTCATGACTTGTTAAATAAAATTAATAATACAAACTCTTCCATGTAGAATACATTTGAATCTTGGAACATTCTAGCACCATTCAACATCTATTCTCAGTGATTTTTAATACCGTGTACTATCCATTTTTTTCATATAAATGGACAAGATAATGCAAAGGTATCCTCTAATAAAGATTGTTTGGCTGACTATTCTTAAATTAACCAGGTATAAACAAATACCATGCTAGTCAATGACATTAGGTGAACCTAATGTCGAGAATTTTTGCAAATCATTGGAATAAAAGTCGGTCAAAAAAAGCATCGCCTTGGATAGGCCGCCAAATTGTGTCGATTGTTAAATTGACTTTAATTGACTTACCAAGTTGTACTTGTTTCGTTTAATTAGGTTAAAATATGTTAGTGTTTAAAGACGAACATTGAAATCTAATACTTGATAACTAACAAATTAATTTTTAATCACCTTGAGACTTCCTTAACATGACCAATAATGACGACAAATAACCGCAACAGCAGCGACCCCAACCATAAAGTTACTAGTGTCATTCCAATCTCTAGAAGTTTCGCGGAGGATTATTCTCGGTATTCTCAGCTGAACGTCGAAAGGGAGGACAATCACTCTTCGTAATTCAACAGGCGGTGGGGGAGCAACTATTGTAGTTTCAGAAAAATCAGCAAGACGATTAAAATCATCGCGAATCTGTTGCCAAGAATCCTCAAATACGTTAGCAGTGAGCTCCCAAAGCTGTGTTTGGTTGTGGGCTGGGAAAAATGTATCACGAAGGAAATCTCTAAGGTAATCCATATTTGAAAAAAAAAAAAAAAATAGGAAAGTGGTAAAGAAAAAAGATAAATCTTTTTGTTAAGATGAAATTAACGATTGTTTCAAAAACATTTTAACCAATTTGGGATAAAGTTATCCAAATACAATAATTTTTTTCCTTGATTATTGATGTAGTGTAAGTTAAATGCTTTCACGTGTTATTGTATTGATCACTCATTTTTAACCACTTGAAAACAGTATAATTGTTATTACAAGTCCTTTTTTTTCATGTTTTTTTTATACGAAAACTTATATTAATAATGCGATACTCAAAATGAAAATTATGATATGGTTAAAACGACCACAAATAAAAAAAAAAATACATTTTATTACATGATAAATAACGAATATGTGCACAGAGGATGCTTGCTTTATTATAAATAACCGAGAATTTAAATTCACAGGTGATGAGCCTAGTGGTGACGATCGGACTAGGACAATAAATACGAAATATTTGAATTTGGGGGGGGCCAAAAGTTACAATATATTTATATTTACCAGTTCTAGAGATGATTTTTATTTACTGGCATTATATTTTACTTTCTAATGATAATGGAATATTTATCAGAATCTTTTAAACGTCGATTTCAAAATTCATTTTCCTTTTTATTCATAAAATTTATTATACCAATTTTAACACGAGTTACTTATTATAGATAAATGATTAGACTTTTCTATAATTAGAAATTTCTAAATTTGCTCAAAATCCCTAATTTGAATCGAAGAAATCGATTTTTAGATTTAATAAGGGGAGGCCATCTAGGTAAGAAAATGTATTATGATGAAATTGTTTAATCGTAACGAAGAGATCATGAAATGCATTTGAAACAATTTTCAACATAAAAATATTATAACTATGTCATTAAGATTATCATTTGAATTTGTTTTTTTTGCTAAACCCTCGGATTATTTGCCGTCCATGTCAAACAGATGTTTCAGTCGATAACTAGTGATTTACCAAATTGTTTCAAATTTAAGGTTTAGGACATAATGTATGGCTAAACTGAAAGTTCGGCCGAAAATGTTTCGAATCTAATTCTCGGCTAAATTAATTTGATCTACAAAGTGTTCCAAATTAAGGTTTTCGGAAATGTTTCGGATTTAATGAGATGGTTTCGAAACACCAGTCAAAGGTATTTATTCTTTTAATTCACTAATAAAAAAAGAAATGTTTATAAATTGATATCCTCCTTTAAGATTCGCATGAGATAAAAATTCGAGACGAGAAAGAGAATGATGAAGCAGGATACTTGTATTGTATTCAAAGGAACAATAATAATCTGTTAAAAAGAAATCATTACAAGATGACCGTTGATCATCGTGGAAACAATGTTATAACGGTTATAATGATTAAGATTTTCTATTTGCAAAGCAAAACTATTTTTACTTTTTCCGGATATAAAATTTTTTATAAGTAATGAAACGTTTTCCTAAATGAAAATCATGTATGTTGTAGATTGTAGGACCATGATTTAAATCTCCGCATATGATTTGCCACACATTAAAAAAATGTGGAAGGCCCGTGCGATAACAAAATAATATGCAAAAAAGGAAAATTTTAATTAAGTGTCATTTCCGGTTATCGTAACACAAAGATATGTCTAGTAATTCTTTTCTCGTTCCTTTGAAATTTCTACAGCAAAAGCCAATGACTTAAAAAAAGATATCACAAGACAATTTGATTCAATAACCAGGATAACAATCAAATGATTTTGGTTAGGGTTAAAAAAAGCTATGATGCTAACCATGCTGATTTTAGAGTGGACTTTATGAAATACATCAGCAAAATCTTAGTCCATATTGCAGGAATTGCATTTAAGCACTTTAATGAGGAAATTCAAATATTAATATTAAAGAATTAGGGGACTGGACTATTAAACTTTCTTTAATTATTTAGATAAATTTAGATAATGAATAGGTCTTGAGCTTTTCAGGTATATTTAAATATAAAATAATAATCAACATTAAATAACTTGTGGAAAGTTAATAATAAATTTATAACCGAATAACTTTTTGGGTCCTTTCATTTTGTGGGTTTCTAAGTATTTGAAGTCAAATACAATACTTTAAGAGCATAAAAAAAAAACGGTTTGAAAAATAAATTTTTCTTCATCATTTAATTTGACATTTGTAAAGAAATGAATGAAATTTTTTTTTTTTTTTTAAAACTTTCTTTTTTTTTAATATAACAAAATTCATACATCATAATAAAAATCCATCATATCATAAATTATATCACTTTGAGTCTTAATTATTCATGCGAACTTAATGAATCATACACGTAAATAAAGATAAAAAAAAATATATATATATTATTTCATATCATTTATATAAGTATAAAAAGTTGATAGTTTACTAAGCTATCAACACGATCCAAATATATTTTTAATATAACAATTTACAAATCAAGTTGCAATTAAAACCGGCCGCAAAGAATAAATCGGTTTTATTCCTTGGAATTATTTGAGAGGTACTCGCATTATCCAAAAAGGGAAAAACTTGGATCATTTCATCGTCAATCATTCTCACTTTATGATTACTTCTCGTTAAATGTAATCTAACTTCAAAGAAGGAATAAAATGGTGTTTTATTACTATGACGGCTACATAATTTGCATTTATAAATTCGTTTATTATTCAGGCCGCCATGAAGAAAAGCTCCGCATAATGTCGTGAGAGGTGCTGGATTGTTCTTTAGACATTCGACTTCTTCACGGAGTTGAGGGATTAGGGTGCTCATGAGGAAATCATCGTCCCAAAGGTTACGTGGATCTTGATTCGTAAAAGGAGGATTACGAAATGATGGACACCAGGGTAAGAATTTTATCATGGAACTTTCAAAGATGGAATTCATCCTGACAATTGAATTGTAATTTGAAGACGAGTTTGAACTTTTTTCCATGTTATTATTTGCTACAGATTGAACGTGATTTTCTTGTTGACGTTCCATCTCTGGTCGCAATAAGGTGAAGATCATTTTAACGATATCCATCTGTCGCGTCTGTATAGCGACGTCAACCTCCATACGTCTTTCTATCTCTTGCCTTTTTGATCTTAACATTGCGGCTATTTGCATATATTCTGGAATTAATTTATTACGAAAACCAATCCAAGCTCGTTTGGTGAAAGGGTTTGTAGAAGGTGAGACGATAGCTTTATTATAGGTCATGCATTTTTCAACCACCGACATTTTAAATCTTGGAAATCCGTATTCATTTTTTTCTCCCCTTATTAAATTCTCAATTGCCATCGTACGATCATCCCTTTTCTTTGAATTTTCCATGTTCTTTGTCCAATATTCATTTTCATTTTCTAATTCCCTTTTCATCACTTGTTCCATCTTACGACGTCCCTTTTCCCGATTTTGTTCAATCCACTCTTTACGTTCTTTAACATTTAATTTATTAAATTCGTTATAAACCTCATGAACGTCTTGGATCCAATACAAGCTTGAAGGTTGAATTTTCGGACTTTTATCACATCCGGATTTATAAAGTCCGGTAGTAAATGTCAACCCGCAAAGGATGTCATCGGGGACTGTTGAATCTTGAGAAAATATTTGATTCCTAACTTGATCCATCCTAAAAAAAAAAACCGCAAAAAAAAATGTTATTTATTTTTTTTTTTTTAAAAAAAAAAAAAAAAAAAAGGTTTTCTCTTCTCACCTTATCGTTCGTTCCTCAAGACATTTCTTGCAACTCCGTACGAGAAAGGGCCAATAAATTTTTCTAATCCTTGACTTTCCACAAAATTGACACCCACGCTCAGAAACCAGCTTCACATATTGAAGTTCGGTCATACCTTCAGGTGGTGGTAATTGTACAAAAGGTAAGAATGTCATACGAGAATTCCTCCAAATTTCTTGGGTGGTCAACGAATTCGTTGAGCAAAGGTATCCGTAAAACTTTTTACATACACGAGCGAGGGAGAGGAGATCAGTAGGTGGTAAATCCTTACAAATGCTTATGAAAATCTCGGGAGGAATTTGCGTAGCGAGGCATGGTTTCGCGATAAGAAATTGTTGATGATAATATTCGTATTCCATATTTATTTTTTTTATTTTTTTAATTCTGAAAGAAAAAAAAAAAAAAAAAACCAAAAAAAATTTTTTTTTTTATTCCTTAAATCTTTATTTTTTTAATTTTAATTTTAATTTCTTTTGAACTCTTTTTACTTTTTCCCTAATGTAATGAGATAAAAGGCGAACGTTGAAAATTCGAACTTTAAATATCAATTCAAGGATAATTATTATCTAATGATTCTTAGTAAACTAAACATGGAAGTCATTTCATTATGTTGTATACCATTATTGTTTGACATCTCAATGAACCCCTATTTCCAATTTCTCGGTTCTCTATAATACAATAGAATTGTGTCGGAAAATCTGAAAGGCTTCTTTGTATACATAAAACCACAAAAAAAAAAACAAACATTCGCCGGTCAGCTCAGGTTACTATTGTTTTCGAAAAAGGGATTTACAACAACATTTTTACGACATGCAATTGTCGAGAAATAACAGGATGAAACATGGGGTTTACCATTTCAGGAAATTAAATCGGTTTGAAAAAAAATCATTTCACGGCCAAATTAGGATTGGAAATGTTCAACCAAATCTAAAACGAAAATAGGACATTTTTTTTCAACAATGACAATCCGATTCAAAAAGTTACCAACTTTCGAAACTTCACAAGTTCCCTGGGATTTTCAAGTGTCCAGATTCGTGGCAAAAGCTTGGCTTAACATCTATTGCGCCAACTAAAAACGTTTCATTTTGAACAAAGGTTTGTTTTAAGTCTCGTAACACAGTTTGGTAAATTACAAGGAGTTATCTGGGACTGGCTCGTCACACATTCCATTGTCAATAAATTTGGTTGGTCAATGACAACAAATGATCGAGGATCTGGTGATTTTTCGCCATTTATCCCTTAAAAAGTTTGCTAATTAAAATATTACTCCATTGGTCTATTTTGGAACTGTTTGAAAAAATATTGACATCAGGATAACATTGCTACATATAAACGATATTTATATACTGTTTTAAGCCTCAATGCAAATTTGAACAAAAAAAAAAAAAAAAAATGTAATACGTAATTACCAAAACGGGTAACTTTTTATTGTATAAATTAGGTTAAAACAATTAATCCTACCCTTTTAAGAGATGATACATGTTGTCCATTGTGATATCACGTGATAAGCAACCTTTTCAGATAAACCGAATCATTCAATTGTGCGAGCAAGTCAATAAAGATGATTCGAGATTTGTTGATTTTGTAAATGGAAACATGAAAGCATTAACTATCAGGCCAACTAATAATATGCAAATGTGGTTAAATGTGTCTCGGATGATGATTATGTTTGAAAAACGTCTATATTGTCTTTATGTAAATTTCATGAACAAAGCAAATCACATCATAGGCAAAAGCCACCAAATTAATCTATTCGTCCCCGACCCAGCTAACCTATCTCTATATAAAAAATACAAATATTCAAAAAAAAAACAAAAAAACAAAAAAAAAAAACCGAAGAAAAAAATACAAATACGAATACCTAGTACATCTAAAAAATAAATATATATTAAATGGAAAATATGATTCTTCGTTATAAAATAAACTCCCCATGACTTTATTTTATTACAATTCTCTAAATTCATCCCGAATAAAATTAGATAGCACATGCTAAAGATAAATATATATATGTATATGTATAAAACTTCTTTAAATATTACGATCAATACTTGACCTAATTTTCTTTTTTTTATTTCACTTTTCACACACTGATTCCTTTGAAGATGGAAGAACTTGTTTACCTGTTTCTACCTTTGATAATCAACCCCCAAAAAAATTTTCTCAATAAAATAAAAAAAAAAAATGAATTCATAAAATTTCAAAGGTCAAATATCCATATAACACAAACCTTTAGATGCATCATTTGATGAATAACGCACTTATACTTTAATATTAAACCAACTTATTATCGCGTCGTAGATTGAATTGTCTCTTTTGATCATATTTCAATCAAAAATTCCACGTTGCATCATCGGAAACGCTCCTTAACAAGGTAACCACTTCTGTCACAGTTGAATAATTCTTCTCGAAATTAGGAACAAGAGCAAATGCAAATAGCCACACGGTGCATGATAAAGCCATGACATGTATAATTACACGCGCAATATCAAAATCCAAAACATATAATGGAGTGTGGATAATTCGAAGAATTGTATATATAACGGAAAAGCTAAAAATGAATTGAATGGGAACATATATTTAGTAAGCTTCATATAATAGATATGTATATATATATTCACATTATTAATTATCCTAACCTTGTCCTATATTTCAAAGGTACTTTATTTAATGATGCAATAATTACTGCTGTAAAAAATGCTATAACGGAAAGAATAATAATGTGTTATAATTTAATGAAAACATAATTAAAATTTCATAAAATTAGCATTGATAAAAAATTAATTACCAGGGGCATTCTCTAATGCAACATTATGTGCTGCTACCATCCTAGCTAGTGCTCCTTTTAAAGATGATCTATGAATAGGGAGTCTTGGTTCCTAAATTTTAGAGCAAATTGATGTTTTTAATTCATTGAACTTTAGCTGATGAAGCCGGTAAATAAAAAAAAAAAAATAAAATAAAATAAAATAAAATTGATACGAACATTATTATCATAATATCCATTTCTCGAACCAGCAGCTTGAGCTATAACACTTAAAGACGCCGTTATCACATATGTCCAGGCAAACATAATGCCAGTCATAACGAACGGTATATCTTTTCGCAAAAAGAAGTTAAGTAAAAAAGGAAGAACAAAATCTTCAACAAGGAGTAGCTGCTGCATTGCAGCTGTTGCCAGGAAGCAGACCGGTGCAAGAACCACTAGGGCAAAAGTGACGATTCGTGGCGAAAGCCTTGTCATATTTGACCTCCTCGTTCTTTGCGGTCGGGAACCTCCACTTCTACTTGAATATTGCACTTTGAATACTTTTTTACTTGAAAAGTTTGGGAAGGAAGTTGGAAACTTTAACAGAAAAGTTATATAAATAATGTAAATATAATTTCACTTTTTTTAAAAAAATCAATGTTAATTATTTTTAATGTAAAGAAAGAACATTGTGGATGAAAAACAAACAATCATCATTAATCATCATACCAAAGGGAGAATGCAACTAAAAATTAATGCAGCGTCATACAAACTTTTGTAGGATCTTTCCAAATTTAGGAAAAGAATAAAGCTTTTTTTTTATAACAATAATTCTTCCAAATATTAAACGCGAGGTACAATAATTCTCCTTGACTTTTAAAGGAATTTTATATCCTTTGAAATAATTCCACGAAAAAGGAAGTAACATTGTTGAACAATTTATTCACGAATGACGTTACACACACTTTATATGTGGTGTTAGATTCATTTCGATTTCGTAAGTTATTATTAACTTTTTCATGAATTAATCTGCCAATAGTACGGATCAAAATAATTGATTGGGTTGAGCTTGCATTTGATCGGATCAGACTTTTAAATGGGATTAGAAAGTTAAATTTCATCACAAATTGCCTTAAATTACTTTTTTATAATTTATAATTAATTTCAGCTAAATAACTAGTATAAATCAAAAATGTATTAATAAATATTATACTAAATAAACTGATTGATAATAATATACAAATATAATACATCTTCTATCTAAATTAAAATAACTTAATGTTAAAATTTAACTTTAATTAGTAAATATTTTATTTTATATTTTAAGTATTTTTATTGATGATGGTTAATAAATTAAAAAAAAAGATGTATATAATAAATTTGTATAAAATCATATAGATTTACATATATATAATATTTAAAAAAATTTATATTTAAAATTACAAATTATATTTATATTATTATCCGATTTATTATCAAATAAACTAAAATCTAATAATTGTAGAATTCAACTTATATTTAAAAGACTTAATTAATTATTTTTATATCTAATTTATCTAATTTATATAATTTTTATAATTAAGTTTTTAAATCAATAGTATAAAAATTTTATAACTTAAATTTTCTTAAGATTTTTTATCAAATTTATTCAGATTATAAATATTTAATATAATATTACTAAAAGATTTTATTATTTAATAAAATTGATTAAGCTGCTTAAAATAATATAATAAATTTAATTGTATAATATATTAAATAAAAGAATAATTCTAAAAAAAAAAATTTTAATATTCAAAATTTATAATTATAAAAAGTTTTACAAATAATTTAAATAAAAATTGCTAGGAAATAAGAATTATTATAAATCATAAATATAATATTTATAAAAGGAATTATTAGTTAATTATCATATACAACCAAAAATTTTCACATTATATAGATTTATATTATTTTTTCACTTTGTTCAAGATAAATTACAAAAAAAATAAATATTTAATATTTAGAGTTTATTAATAAAAATATATTATTAAATAATTAAAAATATTAGTATATTTATTAAATTTATATTTTATCAATTTAAAATAGATTTAAATAAGTAATTTAATACTAATTATTACTTATTATAAAAAAACTACTATATATTGATTATCTTATTATTCCTTAGATTATCTAGTAGGCAAATTTGCCTATGAACTTAAAAAATGTGTTATTTTTTTTAATAAAATATTAAATATTAATTTTAGTAATATAATAATTATATAAAAAATATAGTTTAATATATATTTTATTAATTTTATTAGAAGAAATTTTAAGTTTATAAGATATTTTTTAAATAATTTAATTTTTAAATTTAAGTTTTAAAAAATTTATTATAATAATTTTTAAAAAATTCTTTATTACTAATAAAAATCATAAAATTTTTTAGTAAATTATAAAAAATATAATAATTAAAGTTATTCTTCATGATAAATTTTATAATATTCTATTATAATTAATATTGCTAAAAGTAAATGTTAATAAAATTGTCAAAGGTCAATAATGAAATTTGTTAATTTATAATTTTTTTAAAAATTAACAAATTTTTAGCTTATAAGTAACTGTAAATTATTTATT